GTGGGGGAGGGGTGGGGGGGCGGTGACGCACCAAAGTGTGTGCGCAGGAAGCGTGCCTCCTGGTCAAAGCCCTCCCTGTAGGGCGCGGGCTGCTGCTCAGGGAACAGGAAGCTGGCGCGGCTGTACTTGCAGCGGCGCGGCGCCATGCCCAGGGTCTCCTGTGCCATCTCCAGCAGCCTGGGGACCTGTTGGCGGCGGTCGGGTGGTGGTTGGGGTGACGAGGTGGCGTTGTCAGCCGGCAGCACAGGCATCACCTCGGGCTGGAGGGGAGGCATGGTGCAAGCAAACAGCGACCGCCGCACCGCACGCAACCATGCCATCGTTGCATGGGATGAAAGCATGCTCTGCCCATCACATCTCGACTTAAGCCAGTGGATGAGCACCCACCGCGTTGAGCAGCTTGGTGGTGCCGCACGTCTTGAGGACCCACTTGGTGGGGTACACAAAGAGGGACGACTCGGACAGCACGTACGCGTCCAGGTGGTCGTTGGTGCGGCTAGACACGATGGTGCAGGCCGCCAGGGACATGAGTTCGTCCAGCTGGGCGCGGCTCAGGGCGCGCAGGCCGGCGGCGGGCGTGGCGGCCGAGGGCGCGAAGTCGATCTCGACGCGCTTCTCGCTGCCCTCGAAGACCGGGTTGGGCAGCACCATGGAGGGGCACCTGTCACCCAGGATGTCGGCGGCGGGGGCCATGGCTGCGCCTGACGTTGTGGGTCGGTTGGAAACCAGGTGGCGAGGGGCTGGGTGTCGCTCCTAGGGGGTGGTCGTGTAGAGCCGATCTCCTAGGGGTCGATTGCAGTCGTGGTCGGTTTGCTAGAATGTAGGCCCTGTTAGCTGGGGCGCTTCAGGCACTGCGGCGTGGGGGGAGCGAGGAGGAGGGGTGTTGGGGCGACGCACAGTAGAGCACAATGTGGGCACAACCGTCATGGGCGAGCAAGGCGCCCTGACGCATGGGGCTCATTCTGCAGGATCCTCGCATAGCTTCGATCGACGTATCCTTTCGCAATCGATCTCCGTGCCGAGAGCCGGGTACAATGGGAGCCTAGGCTGCCCGGAAGGACCCCGTCACCACAGCGACCGACCAATACAGGCCGCCCCACGCGAACAAGGGCCGGCCCTTCTCGGCAAGCCTGATTGTTCTCACGTCGCTGAAGGCGTAGGAGTACTTCTGGGCCACGGCGTGGATATCGGGGGCGATGTCGTCCAGGCTAGTGGGCGCAAACGCGCCGGCGCTAATCTGCTTGCTAGTCTTTGTGCTGGTCAGAGGCATACTGCTTTCAATGATTCGACGGTTTACTACTTGACACAGTGGTCTTCATCAGCGTGGGGGGAGGGATCGAGTGGAGGGCCGGTGCTGCGCTCAGGGCGGCTGCGCGAGGGCTGTAGGGAATAAAAGGTTCGAAAGGGGTGATCGAAGTGCACTTGAAAACGATACGGACCTCACAGCAGCGCAAGCATTGGCCGCGTTTGCTCACCGCCCCCTGAGTTCCTGCAACGCAGCTCACTGCGGTGACACAAGAGCGCGCGGCTGAGCACGCCTTGCCGTTGGAAAGAGACGAAGTTTCTGGTATCGGTCACGCGGATGAACCCCTATCTCTCCACTCATGCGTGATCTGCTATCGGTGTCTGTTGTGGGGCACGTGTGCCAGTCATGCACCTCGTAGTGGGCACGTACGAGCGCTTTCTACTGGGATACGCCGTGCCGGATGCCCTCGAGGTGAACGGGCATGATTGGGCTGCCGTCGGCTGCCGCCGCCTGCTCGTGTATGTGCTGCCGCCGCTGCTGTCGCCGCAAACCTGCAATGCGCCAGCAGCAGCTTTGAGTCTGAAACACCCCCACCCACGCAACCGCCCTGCAACGCGCAGGCCGGCGGCGCGCAGCTGGCGCGCGCGTTCACGCACGCTTCGCACCAGGGCCCCGTCCGGTGTGTTGACGCGGCGGGCGCGTACGTGGTGTCTGGGGGTTCGGATGACCAGCTACACCTGTACGATGTGAAGGTGGGCGCTGAGCTGGCATTACTTGCAGTGGTAGAGTGCCACCGCTGCACGGCTCGATCCAGATTCGTGGGCAGAGCAAAGGCGTCGCTATCAGACAGAGCAACCCGGCCGATTTGCAGCCGACAGCCGTCTAGCCAGGCCCAGTCGCCTAGACGCCCGCATGATGGCAGCTCGGCCCTCTTCAAGGCACGCCCCGGACCCACCTCGACACGCAGCAAGCAGGCCCGCCCGCTGCGTAGCTCTCCTCTTTCCCGCTGGCCGCCCCTCCCCCAACACACACCCAAACGCTCCCTGTTTGGCCCCTCCCATAGCCAATCCAATTTGCACACCCTCCCCCACCCCGTTTTCTGTAGCGCGGCCGCGACCTGGGGTTCCTCATGAACCCGGGGGAGGGCGCGGTGCCGTGCCTGCAGCTCTACACGCCGCCGGGGGCCGCCTCCCCAAGCCACCTCTTCAGCGGCAGCGCAGGTGGGCACGCGCCGCCGCTGCCGCCACGCCCGCGCCCGCGCTCGCGTCCGCCCGCACGCGCCACGCCTGCGGTCCACCGGAGACGCCAGCAGCGCGGCAGCATATTTTACCGGCACCCGGTGGATCATATTGCTCCGCCGCAAGACTGCGCTGCGCTGATGCCGCCACCCTGTCTCATGGCTCCCAACCTCGGGGCGCGCGCCCGCCGCCTCACAGACGGCGGGATCGCAATCTGGCGGGCCGGCGGCGAGTGGGAGCACCTGAAGATGATGAAGGGCCACAGGGGCGCTGTAAACGCGCTCGCGGTGCACCCCAGCGGCCGGCTGGCGCTGAGCGTGGCGCACGACAGGCAGCTTCGAATGTGGGACCTCCTCAGGTGCGGCTCGGGGGTGTAGCCGGGCGCACGTTTTCGGCTTGGAGTTTGGGCGCAGTGTTTGCACTCTGCCCCCAATTGCATGGTTTGGGCGACGAATTGTCAAACGAGAAACTGCTTGTTTGCTGTGCCAGGTGAAGGCCCCTGTTAATCCCTCCCGCCGTGCATACATCCCACTGCGGCGGGAGTTTCATGTGGGGCCGAGATCACCCGGGGCGTTTCGCTGACAGCGCTAGGGGGCCCTCGCGGCGCCCGATTGGCGTTTTCTGATAGTAGCTCCCCGACACTCCTGTGCTGTTCTCGCCAACCCATCCAACCTGACGTCTATATAATGTGCCTCCACACAGCATCACACTCCAGCTGTCCCTGCGCGTCTCACCTGCAGTCTTAGCACTTGCAATTGAAATGCAATTTGCTTAAGTTTTTGGGCTAGAGGGCTCGCAAACCAATTGACCTGCACACATGCCACGCCTGATATCGCCCCTGAAACCACCCAGGGGCCGCTGCACCTACACCGCTGGTCTGGATGCAGAGGGCGTGGACATCCAGCTGGGCCCCAGGGGCGACACGTACGCACTGCTCTGCGGCCGCACGCTCACGCTGCACGCGGCTGGCGGGGAGGGCGGCCTGCTGGCGCGCCTTGACTCAGAAGAGGTCAAGTTCACTTGCCTGGGGCGCGGCCGGCAGGACGAGAGGTGAGGGTTTGGGTTCGGCTCTCCCCGCCCTTCCCTGTCGAGCCGCCTGAGTCTCCCTAGGCCCCTGTTAATCCCTCCCGCCGTGCATACACCCCACTGCGGCGGGAGTTTCATGTGGGGCCGAAATCACCCGGGGCGTTTCGCTGACAGCGCTAGGGGGCCCTTGGGCCGCCCGATTGGCGTTCTCTGATAGTAGCTCCCCGACAGTTCTCTTAATGCAACGCGCTTCCATATCCGCATGTCATTTGTGTTCTCAAACCCTCACTTCCGTCGGTCAACCATCCCCTCTGCATTTCACACCGTCACCCAGGGTGCTGTTGGTAGGGCAAGAGGACGGCACCCTCGCGCTCTGGGACACTCGGGAGGGCGGCGGCCCGGGTGCGGCAGCCAGTGCACGGCTGGCGTCGCGGGTTGAGAAGGCCCACAAAACGCGGATAAGAGCCATCGAGCCTGTTACACCAGGTGAGGGGCGGCGGCACCACGCTTGCCTTGGCCTTGCACTGCCTCCTCTTTACCACTTCTGCCTATTTTTTTGCACTTCACTGCCCCCGGACCTGACGGTGCCCTGCAGTCGGCGGATGCCCTCTTGGCATCACCTCCCCCCGCTTTCAATTCTTGCGGCCGCCAAGTGCTCACCCTGCCCCGCTGCTCTGATCCCATGTGTCGCCAGACGACGGCGGCCCCCTGCCGCGCCACGTCGCCACCGCGTCGAGCGACGGCGTCATCAAAATCTGGGATTGCCGCCGGATGACGACCGTGACTCACAGCGCCGGCTGCAGCGAGCTGGCGAACGCAGACACAAAGGGGCGCATCACGTGCATGACGCTCTCGGCGCCGGGGCGGAGGCAGGCGGCGCTCGCAGGCGGGGCAGGAGGGGATGCAGAGGTGGGTGCGCCGCTCCGCGCGGCAGCTTGGCGGCGGGGCGCGAGGTAGGTGCACCGCTTGGGAGGGCGAGGCGGCGGGACGCCCCAGCTGTGGCAGGCAGCTTTCGTGAGCCAACAGCCTCGCACCCTGCTGCCTTGGCTTGCGCATCATCTTGCAACGCGTCGCAACACGCTCCATGCAGGCGACTGCTGCTGGAGAGCAGAAAACGGAGCCTAAAGAGCAGCGACATCGGCAACCGTTGGAAAAGCGGCAACAGCAGCAGCAAGATCAGCAGCGGCAGCAGCAGCAGCAGAAACGGAAGCATCAGGTGGCAGCCAGCGGCGAGCAGCAGCCAGCAAAGGCGCAGCAACCTGTCAAGCAGGGGCAGCAGCAGCAACAGCAGCAGCAGCAGCAGAAAACGCAGAAGCAGCAGCAGCAGAAACAGCAGAAGCAGCAGAAGCAGGTAGAGCAGTTCTTTGATGACGACGACGATGATGTTGAACTAGAGCAGCAGCAGCAGCGCGGTAAGGGAGGCAAGGCAGGCAAGCAGCACAAGGCCCCGCTGAACGGCGCTGGCAGCCGCCGCGGCGACGGCGAGGCGTTGGTTCCACGCGTGCAGACCGTGATCAAGAAGAAAAAGAAGCGGGAAGGTCACACTGGGCAGCAGCAGCGTGGGCAGCAGCAGCGGCGGCGGGAAGGGCAGGCGCGAGGCAGCGGCGCTAGCGGCAGTGGAGGGATCAGCATCACGAACCGGAAGGCGCCGCGGCCGGGTAGAAGTTGACAGGAATCGCCTTGTAACCCCAAGAGTCGCTGCTCCCAGGGAGCCACGCGTGTCTGTGTTACCTTCAGAACCGCTACTCTCAACGACACATGTGCCGTGTGTGCATGGAGTTTGAGGGGCCACTTGACGTGACCAGCAAGGTGAGGTGGGCACCATCTTTATGCAACCTCAGCAACGGTGCCATGCACAACCCACGGATCCTGCACATTTGTATGTGGTATTCCATCACGCATACAAGTCGCGAACATGAACGGCTTGTGCTCAGAACCTCTGAGCTGGGAGAAGACGGCCCAGCTGATCCAGGAGGGCACAGTCGAGTCGCTAGGCCAGCTGGGCCGCAGCGAATCGCAGCTGAGCGTTTACAGAAAGTTTATGGCAGGGGTGAGGATCAAGGACAACGATCAGGGCGTACGGCAGGCACCGCGTAGACCGCAATGACGCAGGTGATCCAATGCAGGTGCGAGAAGATTACGCCAGCGTAGGCGACTTCGTCAAGATCCTAGTGTTTGAGGCCGCTGTGCACATGAAAGGTGCGGAGCACGCCACTCTGGGGCAGCAAACGCAAAGCGCAGCTGCTGCGACGTTGCGCTGTGTCAGTGTGTCGGTTGGCACCATGTCCCTGCTGCCTCTCATCGAGCGTCGTGCACGGCCGCCCCTCAAAACTGCCCTGCGACTCTCCTGCCGCATGCAGATGGCAAGAAGCATGCAGTGGACCCTGAGCAGAGCAAGAATGGTGACGGCGCGCTGTGGCGCCTCAATGTAAGCCTCCCCAATCACTAGACTCAATGGGGTGCGAGTGTGGTTGCATGTTCAAGCTTGGAACGCGACTCAGCGGCGCGATGCTTTCAACTCGGGCACTCGCGTTTCAGGCCCCCTTGTCAGCAGCCAACTGAGCACCACCCGCCTACGCATGGCATCTTCTGGGCCGCACCCCCAGGACTTTCCCTACAACTTTGAGGACGGCGTGCAGCACTGGCTGCTGTGGAGCACGCGCGAGATCCCGGCGCCGCGCATACAGGAGCTGATGGACTCAAAGTTCCCGGAGGCGGCATGGGATCGGCTCTACTTTCTGAACCCTCCTGCCCTGCAATCTGTGCTCGCGGTGCGATCCTTTGCTGTGGTGGGATGTATGGTGTGTTGTGTGTGTGTGTGTGTGTGCGCGCACGCGCGCGCGTGTGTGCATGCCCGCACTCACACGTGCATGCGTGCGCACACACGTACAGACACACCAGAAGGAGAAAGAGAGAGTTGATAGAGAGAGGCACAGAGATAGGCAGACAGAGACAGGGATAGGTTTGTGCACTGTTGAATGCACCCAATCGCGCCGACGCATGCGCGCGCGTGTGTATGTGTATTTGTGTGTGTTTATGTGTGTGCGTGTGTGTGCGCGCGCGCGAAGGCGCGCGCATATGCGTGCTCTGTATGCGCGTGTGCATACTGAATTCCATCGCGTGCGGCACCTCACCCGCCTGGGCGGCTTTCAAACCCTCTGTGCTGCAGGTGTGGCACTGCCACGTGCTGGTGCGGCCGAAGAACCCAGAGGCAGCGCCGCAGTGAAACACGCCACCACGGGTACCCTCGGCCACCTCGGCCGCACCCTAACAGCTAGGAGCAAGCAGCATCAACCGCTGTCGCTCCACTGCAACCTTCCAAGGTGCACGTGCGTGGGCTTCCGGGGAGTGCAGCAGGGGCGTGGCGCGGGCACCAGGGTGGCTCGCATGGTTTGTTGGCGGCATTGATTATCTTGTTCTGCGGGCTGAAACAAGGCCCGCGTGTCATGGTTTCTACATTAAATCAACCTTGCGTTTTGAAGTGCTAGCTGCTCATGCGATTCGGCATGCATCCTGCCACCGACCCCTACCTACTGAGTGCTGCGTCACAGCACGACGTGGCATGTTTGGCTGGTCGGCGGATGCTACGCCCCCTGCGGCGCAGCATTCGTGCCTCGCGAGGCGCCCTGTCGGCTCAAGGGTTCGCAGGCGCTGATCATCCCCCCGGCCTGATGTGCGGGCTCGCTTCGCTGCGGCGTGATTATCGATCCGCGCAGCTGCGCCCGCGGCCTCTTTTGAAGAACTCAACGACACGACTGCAACGTCATCTGCATGGCGAGCCCCGCCCTCCCTGTCATAGACGGCTCATGTCCAGGCGTGGCAGCCAGCGTCGCGCCCCCTCGATCCCTGTAAGCATCCACGTGGCTGCTGCTAGCTGGCTTCCAGCGCTTTTGGTGTTGCAAGCGCCTGCTGGAGCCTGCACATCGCCGCTGCATGATTTCCCTGCAGCCAACTGGGTGTGAGGGGTGGTGACCTGATGTCAGACCTCTAGGCACGTACATTGCAAAATGCCAGCCGCAGCTCCTCCGCCATGCCCACGACGCGCTGTGGGCGCAGCTACACGCACAGCAGCACGCAAGTGCCATGCCGTCCTGGGTGATGCAGGGCCCAGGGATCCGCGCGCGTTTTGAGGGCTTGCAGCGCCTGGGTGGAGAGGTGATTTTATGCACTGTCAGCTCAATCTCCACAATTTCCGGCTCTTACAGGTCTGCCTCACAACAGACCCGGCCGCCCTCGGGTACTTTTCCCGATTGGCAAGAGGGCGTCCACAGTGGGCGTCCCCGTCGCTTAGACCTTGCCGCCCAACACAGGGGTCTGCCTCGTTCCACTGGTCGCTGCAGGGACTCGTGCAGAGGTTCAGAATGAAAACAGGAAGCGAGGTGTGTGCTGTTGGGCCAGGATTCTGAGCGCTGGCGGGCTTCACCCTGGGTATTACTAACCTCGTTGCCAATCCGCAATCGCAATCCGTCAACCCACTGGTTCTGGTGACCGTTCAGGACCCCACGAGGGACAGCTGCGCTTGTTGCATGTACCAGGCACCCAAGTCCCTGAAGAATCTTGGGTCAGCTTCTGAGCGCTGCTGCAGACACCTGCCGGCCTGCGACATCGCAGCAAAATGCGGCACCGCGGGTTTACTTTTGCGCAAGCCCCTGTTCTAATGGCGATGACTTTCTACCCCAACCCCTCACAAACTGCGATTAGCATAGCACGACCGGACTCGCCGCTACAACACGGTTTCACCCGGGCTTCGGTATTACCCGACCTGGATCGCAACGGCGCACTTGTGATCGCCGAAGCGCACACCTTGTAGACCCCTATCACTCCATGATTCATTTCACGGCAACTCGCGTACAGGGTAAGAGTCCCGTGTCGCGCTAGGTGTCGGAGAGCTGGCCCGCCCAGCTAAGGTTTGTCAGCATGGCTGAGAACGACCCTAGTTTCACGAATGCAACTCATATTTTCATCTCAGGCACGTGGGAGGGCCCAAGACCCATGGCAATCACGCCGCCCCACGGGCTCCGTGTGGCGCCATGTGCCCCCGTTCAGCGGCACCGCCACCTTCCGTGGCCTGCCGTGGCCACCACTCAGCACGTGGGCAAGGCCGCGTCCAGGGGATCATCCCCGTGCCTCTGCGCTGCGCTGCGCTCCGGCGTCGCCCGTGACTTTGGGCCCGCCAGCCGAGCCCTAGCAGACGCCAGTGCAAGGCTGCAGGGAACCCTTGCCCTGCCAGTCCCCCTGCGCCACGTGACGCCAGCATCCGAGCAGGAAGTGCCCGCTGTAAAGCAGCTGACGCGCCAATGCGAGGTATGGGGGCCAAGCACAGGGTGGGCACAAGAGCTGGGATTTCTGGCGCATGCTGATGGGCAACTGCTGCCTGCAAAGACCCTCCTGGCGCCTTCCCCGCTGGAACACATCCCGCTTGCTCCAAACCCCCTCTGCCTGTCAATCAAGAACCTGCGCACATGCCTACATCCAATCATCGCAATTGCACGGTGGCAGGATGAGTCAGCTCGCCACCTGCATCTGGACCCATACCTTGTTGGGTGCCCCAAATTCGGGTAGGCTCTCGCACCAGCCGGGGTTAAAGTCCTTTGCATGCTCTTGCAAATCTATAAGAGGCTGTTACAGCTGCCTGTTGGACACGGATAACGAAGTTTTATGGGTAAATGCCCTTGCCGCCACCGCCGTCGGTATGATGCCTTACCTGCCCCTGCTGGATGGCCCCAGACGAAAGCCGGCGTCAGCCAGGAGACGCATGCCCTCACGTCGATGCTCACCCCCACCATGGGTGCGTGAGCGGGAAGTTGAGGCCTGATGCCCTGAATAATCTTCAACCCGCACGGACTAAGCATCCGCCTCGTGCCTGCGCCCCTCCATGCAGCATCGTCGGCTCCAGCAAGTACGCAGACGCCCTGCGCAAGCAGGTGCGCCTCCGCTGGTTGACCGGTCAAACTCGGTTTGACCAGCATCGCTGCTTCAACTAATTCCTTCCAATCACCTCAATCTGCTCCGCATCAAACGTGCTGCAAGTGCATCAGTGTACTGGGTGCTGCCCTCACAAAAGGGGCGACAACCCAATCGCAGCAATATGTGTTCTTAGTGCGTGCGGCAGCACCACCAATCACACATACACACTGTGCTGCACGACCAGCAATCACCACTGACAAACCCTTTGCCCCGTGCAGGTGGTGGCAGCTGCCCGTGACACGGTGCGTCGCGCGGTGCTCGTGATCGGCGAACCAGGCATGCGGCCCGGCCGCGTGGCGGCCCTCATCCACTACGCCAGCAAGGCGCGAAAAGGTGCGCTCGCAGCGGCTCCCACGTGCGGGGTCGCCGGCACCCCGCCCACGCTCCAGATCGCACCCGCTCCGGCAGCCACGTCAATCGTGCCGGCGCAAACGCTCTGATGCCTCCGGCCGACCGAGCGACCAACCAAATCCCGGCACCGGGGGTCGGCGGCCGCGGGCGAACTGACAGGGCCGGAACGCCACGCGCCCTGCCGCCATGTATGCCCAGGGCTCATGGCGGAGGTCGACTGCGCACTCATTCACGGAGAGGAGGTGCTAGCATCCAGGGTGTTTGGCCGCGGGGCGGCCAGGGGGCTTCTGGACTGGCTGGGGGAGGACGGCACTCTGCTGATCAACAATGTGGAGCTGGTGGGTGCCTGCAAAAACTCAATTCAACGCTCAAGTTGCTGATTTTGCTGGAATGTCACCGGCTTGATCGAGCTGAAGTTGCGGCCAAGTCGCTGGACCTTGAACGCCCTTTGACGCCTCTCAAACTGACAGCACCACTCGCCTTGTTGCTCTGTGATACCGTTGATGCCTGGCCCCGACCACACCTGCTCCTGCCGTCTCGATGCCTGCAGGCGCCCCCGGGGTTCCTCCTCCGCCTGCAGCACACACTCCGCCGGCGGGCAGCCTCCGCGCCCCTCCCAGCCAAAGGCGCGCCCCCGCCCCCCCTCAACGGCGGCCCGCCGTCCGGGAACGGCGCGCCGCCTGCGGACCCCCCACGCGGCAGCGGCGGCGGCGCGCGCCTGCTGCTTGCGTCGTCGGCGCCCCTGCCAGTGTTTGACGGCCTGGCGTCAGTAATCACCATCCCGCCGCTGCGCCTGCGGCCGGCTGACGCGGTCGCGCTGCAGCGGTTCTGCCTGCGGCGCGCGGGGAGGCGGCTGCAAGCTGAGGGCTTGAGGCTCGAGCTGACGCCAGAGGCTGCGCGCGCCGTCCAGGTCAGCGGAGCGCCTGGGAACCGGGCCCTTGCCTGGCGCCACCCCGACATCCCTCACCCTCCACCCACCCGCACCCACACTCTTGCTGCATCACACCGTTGGCACTGGTGCTTGCTTGTGGCAGCCAGTGTCGCTCAGCGTTGATGTTGTGTTGAGATTTAGGGTTTTGGGTTTCATGTTGGGGCCTTGGGAGGGTCGGCTGATGTCTATTTCCTATTGTGCGCAGCAACGCGCAGAACGCAGATGCGCGAGCACAGGCCGTGGGTCCCTGATGCCCTTTGTTGTCCGTTGCGGGCCAGGCACCCCTGCGGCTCCCCCCACCGCACCCTAGAAGCCGTGCAACCATGCCTCCCCTTCCCTGGCTCCCTCGAAACCGTACATCATGCTCACCCAACAGCTCGTTCATCTTCTCCCCCGTTCCACCCCTGCCTGTCGTCAATCCTCCCACTGGCAGTCGTATGACTTCCCCGGTGGAGAGGCGGAGGTGGAGGCGGCCGCCATCCGCGCAGTCGCTGAGGCAGCAGAGACAGCAGCCGCCGCCTCACGCCCCGCCGCCGTCGCCGCCAGCGGCGCCTCCGCTGCTGCGTGCGGCCCGCCTCCGTCGGAATCGGTCGACAGCGGGGCGTGCGGCGACAGCCGGGAGCGCGCGGTCGCCCTTGGCAGCGACGCCTTCTTGGGGGTGTCCCCAGCAGCAGACCGATTCAAGGTCAGTGCGCTGACTGGTGTAGCTGCCTCGACCCTCTGATGATTGTTGTCATGTGTCCCCCCATGCACACACTTGCACATGCACGCACAAACGCGTGCAGTGGATCCACGTACGCATGCGCACGCCTAAACATGCATGCACACACGCACAGGCACACGCTGCGCACACGTACACACACACGCACGCGGGCGCACACACACACACACACAAACACACACACACGTGCGCGCGCACACACACCCACACGCACACACACGCACACGCACACGCACG